AATTCTTGAACATTTTTGTTTCCCCTTTAGGAGGGATGTAGGTTTTCATTTCTCTTTCATGACAGGCCATGTCCACCTTTGGTATGCCTCCAAATTTTTCTTCCTAGTTAACAGACATGGTCTTCTGCCTTTCTGAGCACTTCTTAGAAAACTATCAGAAGTTGATGGGGCTGGAGAGATGGCTCAGTGGTCTAAAGCACCTACTTGAAACAAGCCTGGCAAAGCACAGGGACCGCGGTTCGATCCCCCAGCACCACATGCCAGCCAGCCCCGCCCCCTGGTGGGCTGAGCTGGCCACACACACACACACAATAAATAAATGTAATAAATAAAAATAAATAAATAATTAAAAAAAAAGAAGTTGATGGAAGCATCTTGGTGCTTCTTGTTGTGCTCCTCCAAGCAAGTCTGCGTGAAGAATGCATAGGATGACATTTTGCTCCTCAGTGTCTTAAGATCTTTCTGCTTCTGTTTAGTTGATTTTTCCTCAGCCAGGCATAGAGTCACCCAGTGCCTGTCCGGCTCTCACTTACTCTGATGCTACTTGCATGGACTAGATATCTTGCAAGGACCCATACATTTATCTTTGTGTAACACCATAGCCTGGGTCTGGGTCTCACTAAGTTAAAGAATGACTCAAAGACAACGGAGGTAAACAGGAGAAATGTTTATTAAGAAGAGAGAAATAACTTTCAATAGTCAGGAGGAAGCTCCAAAACAGATTGCCACAGATTCTCTTTGGCAAAGAGTTTTTGTACCAAAAAAAATGACCAGGGTTCAAACTATCTACGATAAACTGAAGATAAACTAAAACAAGCCTACTTAAACTAGAAATGGGCCTACAAAGAGTTGAGGCACATAGAGAGTTTATGTCTATAGGTGTCTCTTGACCTCCATCCAAGCTAAGTGGTTTACTAGAAAGTGAGAAGGAAAACATGTTTTCCAGATAGATAGGAGCAGAAGCTGTCATAGTGGTCATCCATCACCTTGCTTGTTATCTTATTTGTTAAATTCTTGGGTTTAATTGTCCACCTCATTCTCGTTAACACTTGACCTCAGGCTCCTGCTTCTCTGACCAAGCTCTGGTCATCCTGCCTCTATCATGGGCTCAGTGGCTCTCTTGCTGTCTGCTATCATCTGCCTAACTTTTCTGTCTATAATATTTGGACAATTATTTCTTTAGATCAGATTCCTAGAAACAGTGACATGTCTTAATTACTTTTCTCATTGCTGAGACAAAATATCTCACACTTAAAGTATGAAAGGTTTATTTTGGTTCACAGTCTTTCAAACTTTCAATCAGCTGGCTCCAACACAGGGTGGCATGGCAGAGGAGCATGGCAGAGTGGGCAGGAGGCAGCAGAAGACAAACAGCACCAGCAGGTGACACAGCCACCCTCTTTCTGTCCCTTATACTCCACTGAGGCTCCCTGCCCTCAGGGTGAGCAGTATTCACCCCCAGGGTGTGCACCCTTAATCTCAGTGACACATCCTTAGTCCAGGATCATATGCTGCACATCCAGCCACCTCCTAAAAGCCCCAACTACAACAGCATGAGGCTCAGGGTGGATGTCTAGATACAAGCCATAGCCCTACATTACACAGTGTGCGGTTCTTTTGATCTTGGCATTCTGTAACCTCCAAATTGTTTTACAAAATATGTTTCCAAAAGGAACATTCTCCAAACTTATACCACCCTGGGTATCATTTTTCACTCTGATCTTTGCTAAATGTAAAGGCCAAAATATGTATTTAGACACTGCATCTTTTATTTGTAGTGCATGGACTACTTTCATGTATTTATTCCTCATTTGCGTCTTCCCTTTCATTACCTGCCCTTCATAGATCATTTTTATGGACCATATAAGTGTGTAAGAGATAATTAAATGAAGTCAACAAATCGTTTCTTTCATATACTCAACAAATGTGTTTTCCAAGTATGCTTTTACTTGACTTTTTTCTGAGAGTAAGTTTTTAAATGTTTCTAGAACAAAACTGAGCATACATTCACTTCCTTTGTGGCTCGCACATTTGTCCCTACCAGAGGCTAAACAAAAAATTCTTTAATTTTTTTCTACATGCTTGGTGGTTTGCTGCTAAAGTGTTAAGTCTATACAAAATTTTTGTGGTATGAGGTGATTACAGGAGATATAATCATCCTGTCTTGCTTCTCTCCCTTTTAGTTTCTTAACATGATTTTTTTGACTACTTTCCTCTCCTGCTCTGACCATGTCTTACTTAGAAACTTCTCTTATCATGATCTAAATTCTTATGAACTCTTGGATATGCACCTGTTCTTCTAAAGAACACAGGTAAGCTTTATGTCTAACAGAAAATACTATTAATTTTTCAATTAAAATATCCTGGCCACTCTCTTAGGGTTCTTGGTCTTCTAGATGAAATTTTGATATATTCTGTTTTTTGTTTTTGTTTGTAAAAAAGGAAAAAAAAACACACAT